CTTACACAGTTTGAAAATGTTTATGTACCACTTAACCAAATAACGTTTTTATTTGGTAAACAAAAGACAAACATTTTACACGTATGGAATATTATTTCTCTAAAAACTACAAAATTATGATAATATATGCGTATAATTAATGGAAAATGAAATATTCACTATTCACAATTATTATTGRTATAAAAYGAAGGAAGTAATATAATACATCAAGGAAAAAGAAAGTTTGTGTTGCAATCATTTTCCACAAACATATTATGTACGGTGCAGGATATATATATAGTATAATATATATTATGGTATTCAATTTTTGCGAGTGTGCTGGCTGTAATATAATAGAAAAAGACACGGGTGCTAAAAATTGAAATTTGATTATATTATTATCTGAGGGACTCATAAGTGTGTGGACTTGTTGAGAGATGAATGAAAATAACGAGACTTAAGGTTTCCAGATTTAAAACCTAACAGATTGAGGCAAAAATGTGTTTGTATGTAGTCTACTTATTGTTACTGCGCATATAAAGATTTCAGTTTTAAATTTTTGGGACTTTTAGTATTATATTTAAATCTTAAGGAATATACTGCAGATGAGATACTGTAAATTATTTAGCGGTCAATTTTTTCGAAAGTGTTTACACATCATAATATGTCGAAATTGTATTATAATTGCATATCAAAAGTAGTTTCCTAGTTATTTATATCTTATCTATGGATAATAGGTCCGAAGTGATGGGTTTAAAAGATGTTATGTGGTGACTAATGTGATTTGAAAATTTTACTGATTAATATTAATCCATCTAAAGATTTATAAATGATGAGAACACACAGGTCCAAAATAAGATCTGTTTAATATTTTTGTGAAATTAATTTTAAGGACTACATTATCCATAGCATAAACATGTTAATAGGTAATTGAGAAACTAACGTACAAATTTTTAATTAGGTACATACATCAACATTTTCAAAAATTTAGGTACTAAATAATTTATAGTTTAAAATGAGAGTTCTTATTTGAAAAGCTAAGTAAAATTTATAATTTAAATAATAAAAATAGTACAATAAATCTCAAAAATTTGAAAATATTTTCTCTATAAAATTATCTAAGTATATTTAAAAATTCCAAAAATCAAAAATCGATTAAATATTAAATTCATTATAGAAGGGAAATATAAGGGTGAGTGTGTTCGGTGAATCATCCTGTATATTATATCTGCACTAGATATATGGGACATGTATAAATAATTTATAGGTAATTATCTAAACACATACCTACCTACCATTTTTTCATGCTTTTATTTCCTCTTGCACGCGCATACATAATATAATAAATACCTGCTGCACCGCAACATCGGTGCACAGATAGTGAGGGTGCATCTGCTGCGTGAGGGGTGCAGCGGTGCAGTGTGTAAATTATCTGGGAAGATCGTAAAAAATGGCACGATGTGTCTGTACATTAAAGAAAAAACGCTTCTCCCTATACCGAATAATATTATACACGCACACACACACAGACACACACACGCAGCATACAAGCGCATCTCGGTTAATGGGATTAAAAACCAGCGACAACAACAATGTACATCGTCGTCGTCGTGTTTATACACGCGTGTCTATACATATATATATTTCGCGTTCGTGTAGATAGTAATAATAATAATAATAATAATAATCGGATCGGGAGCGGAAGCGGTGGCGGGGTCGTTAAAATATATCACGAGTATACGACGGATGGACGACGGACGACGCGTATATTATATATATAGAGAGAGATATATAGACTGTGGAGGGTTGGCTGGGGGATGATGATGAGTGGAGGATGGGCACGCCGGCAGGATATATCCTACTCTGTCTCTCGCACACACACATCGGCGTGGCATCGCGATGTTGTAGCGAGTTTATATATATATATATAGCCGCCCGGGGAGATTCCGATCAATATAATACGAACGCACAACCCGGACTGAGCGAAGACCGGAGCAAAAATGGCGGCGGTATAGCAACTATACTATATACGGTTCGGCGAAACGCGCGACGGTTTTTACAAAAAGCTTGCGCCGCGCCTCCATATATATATAGGAGGTACCTACCCTCCACGCCCCTCTTTCCAAGCTCGCGGTTACCGTGAATACACCGACCCCCATAATCTCGAACAAGCGTTTATGTAACATAAACATACCCACACTAACACATGAACGTCGTCGCCCCACATACACGTGCCGTACCTATACGGCTATTATATACATAATAATATTATATTTATAAAAATTATTCCGATCATCGCGCACATAATAATAATATTATGTATGTACCTGCCTATATCTACGTACTCCACACTGGCGCTGTGTATAAAAACATTTCGTTTGTAAATTCGCAATTAGCTTCAAGCGTGATTTCCCGCCATGACTTTACTATAAATCCTAATACGCCTATATATTAGAGGACTATAATAGAGGCACCTATGCCTATTTTATCACAAGAAATTATTTTAATATTATTATTGGAAGGGATACATGTTTCGTTAATAGAAAAASGCATTATTTTTTATTTCCTCAATTCGTAATYAAAGAACAGATACTGATGACTTCAATTTTGAAACTTTTAATTTTTATTACTTTTTTCGCCAATAATTTTGGTCTATTAAAATTGTTTGTACGTGCCCAATTTATGAATTACTGTTGAATTTTCGTCTTATAAGCCAAATAATAGATTGATAGATTTTTATATGTTGTACAATTATGATTCTTTAGCATAATACCTACACTTATATTAATATGTAGTGCGTTGYATGCAGCCTTTTTCGAGATAGAAAGTGCTTTTTTACAAGGTTTTTATTGCATTCAATTCACAGCTCTAATATTATTATTGTCATAATAACACAATGCGATTATGACGAAAAACAAAAGCATTGGCACGTCGTGCGATTACCATGGCGTTAGAACGTTAAATACTCGTACATTTACATTTTCACCCACCAATTTAATTTGATTTTTTTATCGAGAACTATCTCATCATAGCGTTACTGTCTATTAAATATCTTCAACACTCGCCACACTATACTATATATAATATATTACTATCCAGCTTGTTCATTATCAGCGGGAGATAGGTTTTCTGTTTTAAGCGCGCTGTCTTAAACTCCACAAATCCACAACCTGACTTCAAAGAGTGTATAATATAATAGRCGTCTCCCGCATGGTTTGACAATAAACCATTAAGAAACGATCGGAAAGTTCACGTAGAACGCCTTCACTGACGCCACTGCCACGTGGGGAAATACGATATGTGTGGGAGGATAAAAAATGAAAAAAAAAATAAGCAAAATATTGCTACAGTTTTTCATTTTTAATACATATATCAAAACGAATTATCGTTATAACGTGTTATAAATTATATAATAATATAARATATTATGCAGAAGTATTTCCGATCGACCGATTTGTATCATTCCGGTTAATACTTAATATATTTTTATATTATGTATATGTGTGTACATGTTTATATCCATGTACAATGTACATATATGTTTATAATATATTCTGTACGAATATAAAACTATCGTATTTTACGAAGTCTGGTAAATGTGGTGGAAATTATCCCAATTTTTTTTTTACATTATAATTTGGATTCCAAAAAAGCACTTCTATTCGAAAAAAATATTAATAATTAATAATTTAATCTACATTAAAGTATACCTTAATAAAGCTCTTATAAAACCAATATTTAACTTAGTACTTTATTAGGTAGCCTATATACTTACTAATTGCTATACAGCTGCCTATATCGTACAATGTATACTTCAAAGTTATATTTATCTAGAATTTAGATTATTTGTAATTCATAATATAAATTACGGTGAATAATAAATTTAAATAAAATTATCTAAATAATAGGTACTTAGATAATTTATAAAATTGTTAMCTATTGCAGATGAGTATGTCATCTTATTGTCTAATTGAAATTGAAATGGCGTATAYAATGGTTTTGATGGATTTCGTTGCATAAATATAATATTTGAGTGATTCTGCAATATATAAGAATATTAAACAATTTGAATAAAATTGTAATAATATTTAATTATATTTAAATATGTAAAAATATTATAATTATAAAATATATTATAAAATGATTATAGGTATCTAACAATTTTATTTCAGTGATATAATTTATTAATATTTGTTACTCAAGTCTCAAATAATAACTTTATATTTATAATTTATAATACGACAACTTTATTAACATAATAATTGTTCAGATATACCATATACCTACACTGCAACACAACATAAAATATATTATGTTATTTTTAATATGATAATACGATTTTTTTTTTTTAATGAAGCCACTACAACAAAGGCTTTGGATGTTTATAATATATTTACTATGAGAAATATTTACGATAGTTTGTTACAATTTAGAAATACTATTTAAGATTATACAATTTAATCGATTTAACATTTTTGAAGAATTTTTCGATGTTGACTGGGTCAGAACTTGGAGCTTCGTGTATATTGTCTGCAGTTTGGAGTTTATCCCTGAAGTCTCTGTAATTCCGGCAGTGGCATATTATGTGCTTGGTCATGAGGGATAATACTCCATTTCGTCATATATGTCTAAAAATTACGTTAACTTTATTATKTAATTAATATTTGTTAGTCAATTATAAGAAAAAAATATAAACACAACATTAAAGAATTACCTATCTAGATAATGCTGAATGCCGTAATGGAAATATTATGATGTACAAATGCATCATCTAAGATCTTTAGGGTAATGATTTTGGTATACAAATATTGGATTACCTTGTAAAATAAATTATGGGTGTACAATTTTGAGACTAACTTTCGCCCGCTCACCACTATACCTACTAATATTGTGTGGTTATCTCTGTAGGTACATATTAATCATCACATAAAATATGTAAGCACACTTTTGTGCTTTATATTCAAATATATTTATTTATTTATTGTTGCAAAATTCAATAATTAATAATTAATAATTTACAGGTGGGTTAGCAGCATATAAAAGTCTTCCGTATACCACTCATGACAGTATTCTTACGGAAAAAAGAAAACAAAGGAGAATACGGACTACTTTTACTTCAGCACAGCTGAAGGAATTGGAAAGAGCTTTTCAGGAAACACATTATCCTGATATATATACCAGAGAAGAGATCGCCAAACACATAGAGCTTACCGAGGCCAGAGTTCAAGTATGTTTTGTTCAATATAAAATTATGGATGTTTATTAGATTTACAAATAATATCTACCTATTATATGTATCTATATTCTATATATAATAAATAATAATATTATTCCAAACAAAAAATGTTTCTCGACGCCATAATAATATAATATTGGTGAAAGAAAACGGTAAATGCCTTAATATAACAATATTCAATCGCTTATTGCGTTATAACATTTCTATAAACATTATAAGTCATGTGATAATGTTRGAGCATGCCTAACTTTTATTGYTAATTGTGTACACGGTACATCTATTACCTATATTGAAAACTATATATATATATTATAATATATTACGATTACTCTTCATTAAGCGCCAGTGTTTTCTAGACTGTTGATTGCGATTTGCGATCCACTAGTATGGATTCCGAGCCAACTTAGATCAAAATAGAAGTTTATGTTTTTTTAAGCTGCGTAAAATATTAGAAATTCCGAAAATTACCAAGTATATTCAAACGAGTCAAACGACGGTAGTCTGTACTTTRTTATTTTGCGATGCGATGATAATGAAATATTTTYTCGATCTTCCAYCAATCATTTTCACAATGGAAATAAATATAGGTCAATGTCCTTTTTAAGAACTCATTTTTATTTTACAGAATCATATAGAAAGCGATAGATTTTCTGATAAAAAGTTGTGTTGCGGTGCTACAAATATTGAAAAACACTAAATTATTACTTTTTTTTAATGCAAGAGTGATTTTGAGAATTAACCTAATTTAAAAAAAATGCTGGTGCCTATAATTAGTTAATTTGGTTTTAATACAAAATATGTTATAAAGTATAAATTGTATTCAAAAGGTCTTTTTGTATTAATTTTTTCGTTAAGTTTACATAATAGATAATAATATTTACTTACCTAATCAATCATTTTAACTTTTCCATATCTCATTTATTTTTGCACAGTTAGTTCAATATCCCATAAACGCCATAAGAAAACTGAGTAGTCGTCGGGTACAACGGTACCTACGTGATTAAAACTTATAATAATTATATCTCCCCTTACTCTTAAGTCTTAAAATCATGGCACGTGTACTAATTTCATTAACTATTAACAACTTCATAACATCGTTCTACATTATCCACATATTTTTTAAAATATCGAACAATATATATTTTGGTTAAATACTTTAGAATTAAGTGCGTTGAATTTTAATCTATTGTAGACTGTTATATATTTTTAACGAATCTTTAAAATGAAAAAAAAATCAACAATTTAAAATGCAAAGTGAAATAACAGACAAATGTTAACAGCGTTCAGCCATAAATTATTTAAGTTTATTCTAATACAAACAAAATAAGTATGATACACAATATAAATATTGTATTAAGTGGACAAATATTACTTTTCAGACTTGATAGAATGTCAATTTGTCAGCGCACTATTTGTTTTTTGTCTCTGCCCATCACTCACACACAGACAAGCGTTCCACACAAAATAATCGCTTTCTTGGTTCTTGATTACCTAATCTCAGAAAAGCATTTATTACATAAATTTATTTTGGAAGGTTAGAAATATTTGTTTTGAATTTTGTTTCAATAAATAAATAATTGTATTATGAAATTAAAACAAATGACTAAAAAACGTATATATATTTAAGTGGATATTAAGACATTTAAAATAGTACTTAAATAAAATTATATTATGTTAAACCCTTAAATATATTATTTTCTTTAATATTTTTAATAGGCGATTTATTTCAACTATAGAAAAGTACACAAAAACTATAATAGACGATTTCGCATAATGTGATCAATGRCTTGTAATTATATGARGCAGWTAAAAAAAGTAGTGTACTGACATCGTCTAAATAAATTATTAATTATTAATTTCATATTTTGATTTTTAATTAATAATTTAGATTCACTATTAAATAACAAAATTATTGTAAACAATATCAAATAGTTTTAAATTAAAACAAAATCACCACCAATTATTTAAATTATATAAGTCATCAAGCGTGCTTTAATTTTATTATAATTTATAATACCCTATTTCATATTAAATAGGTGYGTATTTATCTGAATATATAATATTCAATTAAATTTATTAGTTGTTAAATAGTTAAATTTTACGCTTTTTGGAATAAATTATAAATATTAAATATGTAAAGCATATCAAAGTACACAGCTTTGTTATATATGGCTATTAGCCATTGGCTAAAGTATTAGGGCCATTAAACAGGATTGTTCACACTAAATCATACATAATAATTAATTACTTTTTTTTACAACTCATAGGTCGGTCTACAACTATAATTCTYCATTTAAGTCAATTGGTCACCTTTTCTTTTAGTTCCTTAAAAGTTTTGGCTCTTGCACCATTTTTTAATTCGTTATTCGTCCTATGTTTAATTCKAGTTACGAGGACGCCCCGGAGTTCTCTTCTCTTCAGCCATGGTTATACTATATCCTATAATTATATTATGCAGCTCTTTCTGTGGGGTGTCTCTTGACATGTGCAAACGTTTTGTTAGAGAATATAGGGCAATATAAAATGCCCTTATACGTATATCGGTCATATCTCACATTATCCACTATAACTCAAATCTTAGGTATATTAGATTTTTCAACATCCATAAGTCATGAATATGAGAAAAGAATGTGATTTAATTGTTCTAATTTTAAATAAATGTATACATACATTTTTAATTATTAGAGGGGCCCTTCTATCCCACAGTCGTCTTAGATGGAGTGTTATCTCCTCCAAAACTACCGAACCAATCTTCGCGAAACTTAAACAAGACGCTACTTGGCAGGTTGGTGAGGGTGAGCCGTCGTTACGAGAAACAGAAGTTTTCCCACACTTTCAAAACACAAACACGACAATTTAGGGTAGAAAAGTGACAAACATTACAGCAGTATTATTAGGTATACTATATTATAATATTTTGTGTTCATCAGTCGTGTTGGGCGGAATCATCGTGATAATAACGATAAAAATCGATGACTGTAACAATAGCAAAATATAATATTATCCACGCGAACGACGACCGTCTCTAATAAAAATATTATATCATACAATTCAAGCGTATCGAATTACAACAACTCGCGAGCTTAATCCGAGGCCCGGGCGCCGTTGTTGTTGTCCGTCCAAAAGGAAAACTAGTCAGTTCCGAGGCGCGTGCACGTCTCTATATTATCGTCGTAATCGTCGCACCCGCCACTGCCCACCCGCATTATCGTTGACTCTCGGCTCCCGTGCAAGCGTGCAGCACGTCGTACTTACTATTGGCTGTCCTGAACGTCCACGAAATGAGATACTCTTGTGTGTATGTGTGTGTGTGTGAGATAGTGAGAGGGTGTGAAGGTGTGTAAGTGGTGTGTTCGTTTTTTTTTTGTTCGGCACACGTCGGCCACTTGACGACGACACGAGCGACCGGAACCCTAATTATTCGTCGTCCGGTTTATCATCATTGTTCTGTATTGTTCGCAGCTATTAAACGCGAACACGGATGGCCGGATATTATTACAATAACAACAATAAGTATAAAAACACAATAAAACATGATATAATATCATTATATTCACTGTCATTTTTTTGATAACTATATCAAACGTGTCAAAAATGTAGTTGTATCTCGTATARTTATGTTATTAGTAGTTATATTGTAACTCCATAAATGTATAAAATATCCAAGAATGTATTTAATAAAATCATCGTAGGTACTACAAAGTGCAASGGCTACAGCAAAAACCACTCAATTAAACGAATAAAAAATTAMAATTAATTGTTTTATTCAATTATATAACTTAATTGTATCATAAATAATATTAAAGGCAGAAATTAGGCCACATCCCATGTTTATTTTTATTTTTTTAATGATCAAGGAATGTATGCTAATGATGTAGCAATAGTCTTGTTTATATATAAAAATAATTTAAAAAGTTTGTAATTATCCATTAAGCTTGAAAACTACGTACTTTACTGGGTAATTAGTAATTGACTTAGTGTCAATTATGTATATGTTGTATATATTATATATTATATAGTTTTCAACTAGTATAGGTTGCTATAAGGTGTCTGGTGTCTCACTCAGGATTTTCGTTTTTGTTCATGCAAATAAAATATTTTTTTGTTTATAATATATACATAGAATTATCACTGTATTTACCCACGTAATTGAATCCAACACAAGAAACTATAATTCCATAATATTGAATATACCTAATATGTATATATTGTATATAATAATATTTAAAAATAATTTGGTAACTTTWATATTTTTATATCAATTTTTTTTTTAAATTTTGGTGTGGTATGAATTTATATTATAATCATTTATTAATACTGAATAGTATAAAATTATTTTGAATAGATTAATAGAACCGTTATAAAATCTTAATACAATCATTACAATCTATTCAGTAATATAAGGACAATTGATAAATATTTTCATATCTATCAACAAATCATAATTGTGATACTGCGCACTGACAACTAACGGTCGGACGGATACAATGGCAACAGGATAAACTTATGTTTAGAAATTTTCAAATTTATAAATGAACCTATCCTTTGGAGCATACATATACACTAAAAAATTGCTTGACAGATAACGTGCAAACGTATTATAATATATGCCTATTTTATATGTTTATTATTTATCATTAAATTATTACTATGATCTAATGATCTATTAATAATGAAAAAAAATAAATTACCTAGCTTTTTTCACAAATAAACACCTTTTCCCTAAAATTTAACTTAGCCTTTTTTCCTTAACATTAAACATGTATTATTATTATGTATGGCGTGCTTATGCACATGTTGGAAATGGCTACCTACATTATTTTAATAGTTGTTGAATTTCAGTTAAGTGAATATTAATCATGGAAAAGTATTTTATGTTGTATTCATTTTTATAAAACGGCGTGGAGATCATCATCGTTCATTTTTAACACTTATAATGGTCTCAGTAGCCCGGCATGTTCAGCTAAACTGTCACCGATATATTATTATGC